GATTTGTATCACTAATGAAAAGGTGAAACCCATGACAGAGTTAGTTACATTGTTGATACTGATTTTATTTAGTTAGGATTAGTTACTATATTAGATAGTGATCTGTATCAATAATGTAACTGCTTTCGTGGGTTTCTATCATGGGTTTCACCCTATTGTATTAGTACTACTACACTGCATGCAGTTGGCCAATGATAATACTATAATATAGTTAATTAAATATCAAAGCCTGTTTGGCATGCAGATAAATATAGTGTTTTTGGCATAGTTTAATTTCATCAAAAAAAGCATAGCATTAGCAATAATAAAAAACATCTAAAAAGAATAGTATTAAAATGATATTTCTTTCGTTAACTTCAAACTATCATTAATATTTAAGTTTTTTTTTTTATGAACAACACATTTTCAATATCAGATACAAAGTTCTATAATAATACTAATATAATGAAACATTAGTTTAAAGTAGCAAATCTTTTTCAAGTCATCGATAATATAAATTTACTCAAAATTATACTTTTTATTTATCTGATATATAAAGAGTGTCTTGAACTATATAATAAAGATTTTTGAGATATAGAGGTTATCGAATATACTATAGTTTATTATTTTTAATTGGTGCTACAAAAAAAAAAAAAAAAAATTTAGCTTTGTTTTTTTCATTTCACAAGATTTTTTGTATCATATATAAATAAGGGTGTATTCACTTAAATAACAATTTATATACTTAACAAGAAAGGGGAAATTTTTAGATATAAGACCAGGCTGAAAAGGCAAAGAAAGCGTATTATTAACAAATATACCAAAGTCAAAAAAAAATAAAAATAAAGGTTCAAGGATTTAATAAAAAGATAAGTAAGTTTATTTCAGAAAAAGTTAAAGGTAATATATAAGATTGACTTATTACTAATCTTTATTCCCATATATATAAAATATAGATATCATTGGCACCAGCTTTAAAAAAAAAGGCACAGAGTGATTAGAAGCCATAATGTGAATATTTTATTGTTGTATTAGAATGCTGTGACTATAAATTCAAGTCTTTAATATTATAATAACCTTTACTTTCAGATCAAATATGGATGAATCAAATTTTCAAGATACTAAATTTAAGGTATTAGTAATGTATAATAGTGTAGAAGAGTTAAGTGATTCTAATAGCAATGAGTAGGCAACATTTTTAGTATTCGTTATAATAATTAATATATTTTTTTAATCTTTATTTTTCTTTAGGTTTAATAATACTGAAAATATTCCTAAGCTTTTTGTTGACAAAACTTTTCAAGATTGGAATCAAGTAGAGAAGTTTATAAAAAAATATGCTTCTGCCAAAGGCTATAAAGTACGAATTGGTGATGGTAGAAGAAAAAATGCAGAGACTTAGCAAATAATAAAGTAAGTTTATTTATACCACCATTCTGGAAAAACCCCAGAAAACTTAAAACCGAGTGAGATGTTTTGTCAAGTAAGATGTCTATAGAAAGTTAATATATGATCTAAGAGGGATAAAAACTGCCTTGAAGTCACGACCTTGAATGATCAACATGTGGACTATAAACTTCATTTATCAGCAAGCCAGTTTGATCTGATGTTAAGAAAGTTACTAGAGAAAGTTATTGAAGAAATTTGGTTTTTAACAGTTACTGCTAAAGCAGATGCAACTATGCAATATAAAATAATCCAGAAAAAATTCAAAATTAGAATACATAGACCAGATCTTTATAATTTTATTAATATTTTTATCGTAATTCAACACCAGGCAAAGAAAACACTGCCACATTGCTAAAGAAACTATATGAAAAAAAATTAAAGATTTTTGATAAATGTTTTCAATGAAGCTTAATCCAATTATGTCTTCTTTAACCTATCTTTTTTGTAAACAACAAATTTTGTAGTTACATTATCACAATGTAGTAATGTACGATAACACATGTAAAACAAACTGTTATAATTGGCCTTTGTCAATTTTTATTACACCTAACAATAATTTAAAAACAAGAATCGTAGCCTAGGCAATTGTTGATAATAAAACACATAAAACCACATAACCTAGCTTTAACTGACATAATATCAAAATAGATTTTTTTTTTTTTTTTTTTGTGTTTAAGGTGACCTCTTTGGCCGGGGGGGCTTTTTATTAGATAATTAACAACGTTACAATTATGATGAGGGTACAA